AGTAATTAATGAAAACAGTGGGAATTTCACAGGGAAATCATACTTTGTACAAAAATGAATGATGATGTAATAAATGTTTTTTAAAATATAATTAATGAAAATAGAAGAATGATGCATGAAGAGACGCGTGACACACAGTAAAATGTTCTAACACACGTGATTGACATTTGAGAAGGAAAAGAAAGAATGGGACAGAGCAATATTTGAAAATTAATGGCCAGGAATTTTCCAAACGTAGCAAGAGACCTCAACCCAAGGTCAGGATAACTGCTAAAAGAATTATGCAAGAGGCCCTCCCGCAGCGGGTTAAAGCACTGCAAAAAGAAGCTTAAGCCACTTCCACATGAGTTCGATCCCCGCCTGCCCCGGAGGTGACCACATGGCGTGGCAGACCTCTCCTGGCCCACCCGCTGCTCCCCTCAGCAGTGTACTTCATCGATCTGCCTGTTCTGCTCCCCACTCTGTCTCTGGTGAAGTCTCTGGCCTGTACCCCAGTTCTGTATGAATAAAATAAATAAATCTTAAAAAAAAAAAAAAGAATTATGCAAGATAGATACACATCTTAAAAATAATGAGAGATGGGGCCCTCCCTGGTGGCACAACGGGTTAGGACGCAACCACCTCAGTGTGAGTTCGATCCCCTGCCAAGGAGGTGACCCACATGGCTCAGCAGACCTCTCCTGTCTCACCCACTGCTCCCCCTCAGCAGTGTATTTTGTCAATCGGCCTGTTCTGCTCCCACTCTGTCTCTGGTGAATCTTCTCAACCCCTATACTTCTGGCCTGTGCCCCAGTTCTGTATGCATAAATGAATAAATCTTTTTTTAAAGTGAAAGATTAAAATAAAGAAGCAGCAGCAAGGTAGAGACACACACACACAAACACCACAATTACAACACAATAAAATTTGGAGGACAAAACTGATAGATGAAACTACATAAAAACTTAAAATAGAATAATATGTAGAATTATACCACAAATAAAGTTTTTTTTTAAAGCTATGAGCATCAAACATTTAAAGAATAATACAAGTACTATTCAAGCCCTTCCAAAAATAACAGAACAGGAGGAAACATTTCCTAACACATGATCCATAATTACCCTGACGTAACACCAAAAATATGTATTATTAGAAAATGAAATTATGAACAAATGTCCCTTGTGAATAGATTTATAAAAATCCTTATTAATGTGCTAGTAAATAAAATCTGACAGTTTATGGAACATAATAATACATGACCAAGAGGGGTTTGTTTTTTAAAATGTAAAGTAGGTTTAACATTCAAAAAGTCAACCATATCAACACATAGGTGGGAAAATGATAAGATCATCTTAAAATACATAGAAAAATGATTGGGGGGAAAATTCAATAGATATTCACAATCAAATATCCCAGAAAAATAGCAATGAAGGGCTTTTCACTAATCTGATAGTCAGCATCCATGAAAAATCCCACAGCTAACACTATACTTCACAGTGAAAGAACAATTCCCCCTTCAGACTGGGAGCAAGGCAAAGATGTCAGCCCCATGATTTCTACTCATAACTATGCTCAAGATTTAAGTTGGCTCAATAAGGCAAGAAAAATAAAATCTACAGATGAGAAAGGAAATGACAAGATTAGAAATGAAATCTATAGCTTAGAAATCTACAGATTAGAAAGGAAATGTAGACAGGATTATCTCTACATAGGAAATCCAAAATATATCAACACACAACACTAGTAAAGCTAATAAAGTTAGTTTAGCATGGTTGCAACATACAGGTCAATATACAAAAGTCATTTTGTATATTGTCATTTCTACGCACTGGCCATAGACTACTGGGATTTTAAAACAGTAATATAGACAATAGTATCCAAAAAAAAAAAATGGACTACTGAAAGATATAAAAGATACAATATGTGCAAAATTTATATGCTAAAAATTATAAGACATTGTCAAGAGAAATTAAAGGTGATCTAAACAAAAGAAAAGGCATGGCATTCGTGAACTGGAAGATTCAATATTTAGATGTCAGTTCTCCCCCACACTAACCTATAGATTCAATACAAATCCAATCAAAATCAATTCTGGAAGTGTTTCTTGTCAATACCAGCAATCTAATTCTAAAATTCTTGTTTTTTTTTAAGATTTATTTATTTATGCATACAGGACTGGGGTATAAGCCAGAGATGCAAGGGGTAAGAGGATTCACCAGAGTGGGGAGCAGAACAGGCAGATGTACTGAAATACACTGCTGAGGGGAGCAGTGGGTGGGTCAGGAGAGGTCTGCCACACCACGTGGGTCACCTCCCTGGCTGGAGATTGAATTTGTGCTGCAGTTGCTATGTTAGCTTCATAGGGCTGAGACTTAACCCTTTGTGCACCAGGGAGGGCTCCTAATTCTAAAATCTATTTTGAAAATAAAGACAAAGTCTGGACAGAGCGACTAAAACTGATTTCAAAACTCAGCACATAAGGCTCAAAAATCAAGACAATGTAACTTGTTTGAAAGACCAGCAGCAATTCATTTAAAATATATATAAAATGATCTCACTTTTGTTATTCTTAATTATTCTGTCCAGTGACACATCAAATAGATCCACACATATATGGTCAGCTAATTTTTGACAGACACCAACGTAACTAAGCAGATAAAGGGGAGTCTCTAATAAGTGGAGCTGGAACCATCTAAATGGGAAAACTACACTTCAAACCTTATCTGACATCATGAACAAAAATTAACACAAAATCCATCATGGGTCTGTATGTAAAACCTTGAGTTAGGCACAGAAATTGTAGCTAGCATACTGAGAGACAAGGTACACAAAAGAAAAAATTGATAAATGGGATTTCATCAAAGCTGACTTCATCAGACTTAAAAGATAATTCAATAAGACATGGGCAAAAGACATGAACAGGAACTTCACAAAGGATACAGACAGCAAATAAGTGTATGTAGTTCTATACCAGTGATCATTAGAGAAATGCAAATTATGAACAGAAGGAGATACAACTACAAAACTAAGAAAACTAAAATTAACAAAAATGCCACCTGTTGGCAAGGCTGTGAGCAAGTTCACATGCCAGGCTATCCTGGTGGAAATGCAAAATGGTACAGTCACTTAGAAGACATCTGGCAATTTCTTATAAAATTAAGCACACTTACTGGAGAAGCTAGCACGCCTACTCCCAGGTATTTCTAAAATAACAATAACAACAACATATGTTAATACAAAGGTCTGTATGGGAATCTGTAATCATAACACCAAGTACTGGAAGACACTCAAATGCTCATCAATTGAGAATACATCCATTCAACTGAATAGCACTTAGCCATGAAAAGGAATGAACTACTGTCTCATGAAAACATGGAAAAATCTCAAAAACTATATGATAAATAAAACAAGCCACACCAAAATATGCTATGCATTTTATTATTTCATTTATATGACATTCAGGAAAACACAAACAGAAATCAAATCATTGGTTGCCAGGAATATGTGAGCTAATGGACTTGTGCTATGTATTTATTACAGTGATGGTTACTTCAACCACTCTAAATATTTATCACTCCCTCCAAGCAAAAAATGATGAGCAGCCACCCAAACTGAAGTATGAAATTGGTCCCACTGCAAAGGTGGGAGAATAAAGACATAATGGAAGTGACAGGTTTCTCCTCCAACTAATTTACAGCAACAAATAGGAAAAAATCTATGCAAAACTTTTATAGGTTGTTTAAATATTCTCAGAATTAAAGCTTTTTGAGGGTTAGTTTCTGAATTGGCTTCCAAGTGGGTAATTTATGAGATTTTCCAGGTATATTTTTTACTTCATTCAGCATCAACCTTAATACTGACTTCCGAACCTCATACAGTAAAAGGTGACTTTGCTGTAAAAGTTCATCAAAGGCACAGATCTGTCTTACAATATTTTTTTTTTCATACAAAATGCCTAAGTTAGTAGAAGACATGAATAGGATCTTGATTACTTTAAGGAGCAAAGTCAGGGAGAGCAAGAATCATCTTGATAAAATCAGCTTACAAAAAAATTTTGAAATAAAAAGCATGAGACCGCAATAAAGGCAGGAAGCAAGAAGTCTAAGGTATCTTGGTGAGCAGACATGGAGGACAGGGCACAGGTGACCGGCATAGGTGGTGGCCACACACCCAGGCGACTAACCAGCTGCTCTCATCAGGCACTTTCTGAATCCCGTTCGCTTAACTGCCAAGTCATTGCACAGGGCCACTGTGGTGAAGAGATGAGATTATCCAGGAACGTACAGATGACCAGTAAATATGCACTGGTCATGCATTTGAATCCTCACAATCACCTGATGAGGGGAAAGTGGAAGAAAGAACTAGAGGGCACACTCCATTTTCCTGGCGACAAAATAGAATAAATAATGTTTCCAAGACATCATGGCCTTAAAAGTTAGAGGCAAGGGCCTTCCCTGGTGGCACAGTAGGTTAAAGCACAGCACAAAGAAGCTAAAGCCACTTCAGCAAGAGTTCAATCCCCGCCCCTGGAGCTGACCCACATGGCGCAACAGACTTCTGACCCGCCTGCTGCTCCCTCAGCAGTGTACTTTGTCAGTCGGCCTGTTCTGCTCCCCATTCTGTCTCTAGTGAAACCTCTCACTGCCCTTGCTCCTCTGGCCTGTGCCCCAGTTCTGTATGCACAAATAAATAAATCTTGAAAAAAAAGAAAAAAAAAGTTAGAGGCAAGATGAACACGTAGGTCTTCTGTACCTCGGGCAGGCATCTGGCCCATGTTCCCTGTCTGGCTGGGGAGCAGCACTAACAGAAATCGGAGGTTCGGGTCTTTTAATATGGGTGGAGAGGATGGGCCAGGAAAAGACATCTGGAAAGCCTGTGGGACGGGAACGCGAAATGCCCAGGGCCAGTCCCATGCCCCCTCACGTTGACTCCACGATCTCTGCGAGGACCTCCGACCCCGTGCAGCCCTGCCCTCCTCAATTCCAAGTCCCGCTCCCACCGAGACCCCACGTCTAACTCACAGACGCTGCCGCCAACCCCGCTCCCAGCGCCGGCTCTCCCAGTGCACCTCCGGGATCCGGAGCTGTTGACATCCGTTGCCCCAGCAACCACCAGGCGCCGCACCGCCTAGCAAGACGAGCGGTGATTGGAAAGAGCAGCGTCCATAGCAACCTCCAGGCAGCAACATTTAATGGGAAAGAATTTAGCTTTCAGGAATTTCTCAGGCACCCTCTTTCCCCAAAGGCACCTTTCACCAGGCACCAGGGCTGGGGCTTCATGCGTTTCTCAATCTGCCTCCCCGAAAATCTCACAAAAACTTTCATCCTAGGGTCCTTTGACATCTTCAGGAGGTTATGCACCCTCTGACTTACAGGCATTTATGTCCATTTACCCATATGAATGTCCATAGCTGTAGATTATTAAAGGAAGCAGAAGCAGACCCAACTTGCGGGATGCCCAAGACAGTGCATGAAAATAACTTCCACAGGTCATCTTCCCACTTGGTGACTGCAGACAAACAGTCCTTCCTGGAATTCATTTAGACCGCTGGCTCATTCAAAGCCTGCCCTGAGATGGCTCCCAAAGACTTTTACTAATTGTTGCTCTTCATTCATGCATTCAACAAATACCTATGAATCACTCATTATGGGTCACAGATTTTCCACTTTTTTAAAATGTATTTATTTATGCATACAGAACTGGGGTACAGGCCAGAGGTGCAGGGGCAGTGAGTGGGTTCACCAGAGACAGAGTGAGGAGTAGAACAGGCAGATCGATGAAGTACACTGCTGAGAAGAGCAGCAGAGGGGTCAGGAGAGGTCTGCCGCGCCAGGTGGGTCACTTCCTGGGTGGGGGATCAAACTCGCACTGAAGTAGCTGCAACTTGCTTGCAGTGCTGCATCCCAACCCGCTGCATCTTCAGGAAGGGCCCAGATTTGCCACTTTTCTAGCCACAGTAAGACAGAAGTTGCCAAGGCAGAGCCCCTCGTTTTTTAGTGCTTTTTTTATGGTGTGGAAGACAACCCTGAGCACACATGAGTATTCGGTGTGTTCATGAACTAAACCTGGCAATACCATGGAGTGCCTGGGGTGATGGCCCTGCAGGGCATCAGAAGGTCATGCTGAGGAGATGGCATTTGCACTGATACGAAGAGATACCAGCTACAGGACAGTGAGGAAGACATCAAGAAGGTGGAAAAGCCTCTGTGGTTGAAAAGGAGAGAGCTTTCGGGACCAGGCCACACCCAGCAAACTGCTCTCCCCCCAGCTCTTTGCACGACTGGGCAACTTCCCCGGTTCCTTTCCTCAACACCCCTTCTCTCTAGTCACACAAATAAAGGTGTGCAGACTTGAATGACCATAAGTGCTTTGGAAACCACTGAGTAATTCTTGACAGTTTTGCCATTCTTTAAATTATATTGAACTTGACAAATATCGAATGTCCCTACAGGCCAAGCACTTTGGTATATACCAATGACCAAGAAGAATACCAGTCTCACCTAGAGAGTTCACAATCACTTGCTGTGCTGTCCAGATTGGCCTCTGGCATTTGTGACTGCTGAGCACTTGACATGTAGCTGCCCCCATCTGAATGTGGGGCAAGTCTAAACTCTGGATTTTAGAGAGTAAGGGCAAAACAAGAATGTAAAATAGCTCATCAATAATTTTTAATACCGATTTCATCTTGAAATAAGATGCATTATTTATTTCACATGTTCTTATTTTAACCTGACTCCTAGAAACATTCAATTACAGATGTGGCTTGCATTTTATTTCTAATCGACTTCAGAGTCTAGTGGAACTTAATATTAGTTGAATAAACAAGTGATATCTTACTACAGGGGTTGAAATAGACATTTCAACTGTAGTACAACAGAGAGCAAACTTTAAGTAGAGCAAGAATTTACAAAGCAAACCTGTTAGAATTCTCTTAAGCCTCTCAAGTGTATAAGGATCAAGAGTAGGTGGCTAGAGAGGATTTCTTCAGCGCTGAACTGTGAGCCAGCCCTACCTCTTCCTCTCCAGCAGAAGAGCGGGGCTGGGAGGCCATCAGCCAGCAAGTTTTGTAAACCAGAGAGCACCGTGTGCTTGTGCCTGAGTCTCTGGAAGTTCTAAAGGGCAAGAGTTGAGTGGACTGGTCAATGGACAGTCAGCAAAGGAAGAATTGGCTGCTCAGGAATCACTCACCACTTCCCCCCAGAATTTATCAAGGGAAAAAAATGCGTGAGCGTTTTCTAAGGAGCAGAATGTGCGTCACTCAGAATGTGTGTGTAGGGTCATTTTGGGCCTTTCTGAAGAGGGAACTCTGAGAGTATTAGGTTCCTGGGGACCACGGAAAAGCAAGAGTCAGCCAAAAGAGGTGCGTTTTGCCTCATTAAGTGAACTGCAGGGTGCAGATGAGGATGAGTTTTTGGAAAGACTCTTCAAAGTGTCTGCCAGAGGAGCATCAATTGAGTCAAAGCCATAGCAGACAAATAACAACCTCCTTGCAGTCTTCTCTCCTCCCTCCCTGGGTCTAATCCCAGCGGAGCCAGAAAAGCACTCTGCAGCTGGGGGCACAGTTGTAGAGCCTGGCAGTGAACTCCAGGAGAATACCACAAGGAGGAAGATGCTGCTCATGCTTTCTTCACCAACAAGAGGTCTCCTGCTGGCAGTTTTCTCAGCTTAAAGAAAGGAGAGGAGGGACAACTTTGAATTAAGTTAGAAGTTTTGATTACCACCTTGGACAGAAGGTTTTAACAACTGTTTTGACACTACACTTTGACACTCAAAAGGGTCCTTGAAAGTCAGGGCACCTAAGTGAGTTCACCCACAGGCAGGGGAACAATTTGCCACACACAGAGATTTTAAAGAGCAACCAGAAGACAAAAATTAAGTAGCAGTTCACACGCCATGCTTGTTTGACTTAAGGGTTACATAAGAACTATGAGGTAGACAGTAGATATAGGCAGAAACGTGCTATTCTCTAATAAGAGTACAGAAAAGTGACTGTATAAAGTTAAAGATTGTTACAAGACAACAGCCACCTCAGCCCAGACCAAAGAGAAGCATCTGACCCCAGCCCCAGAAGCCATGTTGTAGCTGCTGAGAGCTGAAGCCAGTGGACCCACCTGCAGCTGCCCAGAGTGACAGGACCCTGGCTTGGTCTCGATGCCAACAGAGGGGTGGGCAGGCAGAGCCAGAGCAAACAAGTCAAGCAACTGGAGATGGACACCCTACTAAAGGCGAATTATGGTGTTAAAAAGCAGACCAACTTAGGCCCTCCCTGGTGGCGCAGCGGGTTAAAGCACAGCACTAAGAATCTAAAGCCACTTCCGCATAAGTTCGATTCCCGCCTGCCCCGGAGGTGACCACATGGTGCAGCAGACCTCTCCTGACCTGCCCACTGCTCCCCTCAGCAGTGTACTTTGTCAATCTGCCTGTTCTGTTCCCCACTCTGTCTCTGGTGAAGCCTCTCACCGCCCTTGAACCTCTGGCCTGTACCCAGTTCTGGATGCACAAGTAAATAAAAATAAATTTTAAAAAAATGTTTAAAAAAAAAAAAAAGCAGACCAACTTGGAACTCATTTTTGTCAAATCATTGTCACCTCAAGCAAAAAAGTTCATGGGAAGGACACAGCATCCCCACTCATTTTGGGGGGTGGGGAATGGAAAGGGTGTAATGCGTTTATCTCAAAAAAAAAAAAAGATGGAATTATTTGCATAATGAAAGGGCTCAGAACGTCAGAGGAGAGGGTCAGTTCCACGTGATGCCATTCAGTTGTGATTTACTTCAGTCTAGGTACCTCCAGAGTGAGTAAGAAATGACTGCTGTCATCTAGAGTGGCTTTGGCACCTCCGCATCCTGGGAGGGGGACCAGACCTCCAGCTGCCACCCAGCTGGCCGAAGAGCTCCACCCCAGGGCTTTAACGCCCATGCCCAGGTGTGCCCAGGTGACAGCTGTTGCTCGCTATGCTCAGCACTGAGCTTTCTCAGGGAGCACAGTGCCTCCTGGTTTCAGTTTCGGTGCACCCCTTTCAATGCATACTCAAAGAGGGGGAGAAACTTTCTACATGTTTGTCCTGCCAAGACTCCAGCCACCAAAAATAAAGAGCAGCCCACAATCCCCAAGTCTCCATTCTTAAGTGGGGCACCAGCCCCTACAGAACCTCACCCTTGATAGGGTAAGACAGACGAGTCAGGGCCTTAGTCCCCCTAAGGCCCACTTTATTTTTGAATGGCTTGGAAACTTCTTTGTGTTATGCCAGGATGTCACTTCCAATAACATGTCTAACTTCTCCTCACCTGTCAGCTCTTCCAGTGTAAAAACCATCCATCACAGCCTTCAAATTCCCCAGTTCTCAGTCTAAAGTGGCCAAACCTCCTAGTTTCTCGAGTGGCAGGAGTTCGAGTCCCTTTACACCCCAGTCATATTCACCACACACACACACTACTCAGTCAGTGCCCTCCATCACCGCTACACAAAATGGAGATAGCTGTCCCACGTGCTCTGAGTAGATGTGCATATTTTCTTCCCCTATAAGGAAAATGTTTTTCGTTCCTCGTGTTCAGAAACAGAAAAATAAGTCACCTTTCCCTGTTTTATAAAGACAAAAAGTTCTAGTCTTACTTTTCTGAATAGTGACCATCAGAATTTTCTCTGAGGACTGGATAACCTAAATCACTGCCTGATGCAGACTTAAGTGAAATTGAAAGGCTCCTGCTATTTTGTTTGCCTTAGTCAAGCTCTTAACTAAGATGTCGTTTGCCATCATCAGCACTCCTGGTGAATCAGAGAAAGCCACTCGAACTAGCTTCAGCCAACAGGAGAATCTACTGAAGAATCATAGAAACTGCAGGAGCTAGGCTTTCACGGACCAGAACCAGGAGGTAGAAAGTTAAACAGAAGCAAAATAAGGCTGTTCCCTGCCTTTCTTTCTCTGGGCCAATGTCCCTTTGTTTCTGCTTCTCTCTCCACGTCCATGTCATCTTTCTCCTCCTTAGACCTGTCTTTCTCTACTTTACCCAAATCTTACCAAATACTAACCCCAGGGCCCCACA